TCTATATAGGGCCTAATGCGTTTTTCGAGGCTAACTTTGACCAAGTGTTAGAGCAATAATGCATGACATGCAAGTTACACAAAGCATACCGTCAAATTCGTACGTGAAAGGAGCTTCCAATGATATAATATTCACATTATACATCTCATGTATTATTAATCTTATCAATAGTCAAAGGCGGTCTTGAAAAACGCATTAGGCCCTATATAGATGGAAGGAGGGAGTACCTCCTTTTCCTTCAACATGGCAGCATAATTGAAGGACAATGCCTTTATCTCAGCCTCAGAAGCTTGAATTTTTTCAATATCTTCCTTGAGTTTAGAAATCTACAGCAAAAAAATGCTATTGCATCAGGAGGCACTGCACTGATACTGCTCTACTTCCACAGTTAGCCGCATAGAAATACAACACGAATATGTGTTCATAACAAGTCCAAATCATGCAACCAACCATACCAAATAATAGTTTGCTATGCGATCCAACATTTGGAGAGTGATGGAACATCAATAACATCTAACAAAAGCCCTGTTATTAAAAAACTTATAGGTAGCAACATATACTTCACTTGCATCGGATAGACATTGTCAGACTAAGATGCACAGTTAACATAATAACATATCACCACATACCAAATTCATTTGGAGCATACCTTCTCTTCAGAGGTGGTTCACTTCCCAATACCTTTAGCTAACCACTAGCCTAACCATTTTATTTCCCTTATTGAGTGAACTTCCAAGGAAAGTATCTGTTGACAGACTAAAACTACAGCATCGCACAAAGTAGTCAAATAGCAAGGGTCATCAGCACGAATTGCCTTCTAATATCAGGCGTGTGCGGGCTAGGCCATTTATATATCTAACAAGTATATGCACTCAAACTCGCGAACGAACAGCATCGGGCAAACAAGAACATGTCTCGTGGGTGGGAGCCTCTCCTCGGACCATTTTAACACGAGACGAGACGTGCGTGGGCAGAATAAGGAATGGCCCGTTACCTCGTCCGGCTCGGCGGGGTCCGGCCGGGTGTACCGCCTCCGCCGCCCGGACGACGGAGGCGTAGGGGCGTGGTCTCCGCGCCGAGATGGCCACGGCGCGGGGATCTCGTCTGCCGTGGCGTCATCGACCTCGCCAGCGAGCCGGCAGAGGCTCTCCCTATAGGTCGCTATAGAGCTCCGCATCTACGATGGCGCCACCGCTTGATGGCCGGTTGGATCCTACGGGAGCGCGCAGGGTTAGGGCTCGGGGCCGAAGTGGCGGGTTCAGGCGAGGAGGAGATCTGTGAGAGGTGGGAGGAGTGACTAACGGAAAAGGGTCAAAGGTTATAGAGATAAAAGGGGCGATTTGATTTTCAGCCACTACTTACTTTGGACATTGACAATTTGCCACTGCTTAGATTGTATTTAATTTTTTGCCACTCTTTTGTTTGCCATTTGATTTTTTGCCACTTTTCAACATAAAAACAATAATTCCAAATGATAAACATATTACCTGCACAATGCAGTGGACAAGTATACCCTTATGTGTGTGTTTGCCAGGAACTCAGATGCACACGAAGAACTCAAACCCATCCGTTGTTCACACGACAGTAGACGGTGACGCTCCTCTACGAGCAGCGGACAAGGCCGACGCCAGCAGGGACCAGCAGCAAAGACAGCGGCGCCCAGGTCCACGCCAAGGCTGAACACGACGAGCCCAAGTCGAGCCGGGCGACGGGCTGAGAGAGGGAGAGAGAGAGAGAGAGAAGGAGGGAGAGAGGGAGAGGGAGGAAGGGAGGGAGGGGACCTAGCCGCCGTCGTCGAGGACCACGGGGAATCGCCGGGACGAATCGCCGCCATCTTCCGTCAAGCACCAGTAGCGACAGACGAGAGTCAGATGGGGAACGAGGGAGGAGACGAGCTCGTCTCCTTGGTAAATCGAACGGCAGGGGCACTCTGGTCATTTCCACGCGGGTCCCACATGACAGGGGCAACACACTCAATTCTAAACTAAGGAGTGGCAAATAAGCAAATACAAAATAACAAATGGCTAATCGTTAAAGTGCGAAGTAACTAGTGGCAAAAAATAAAAATTCCCGAGATAAAGACATGTTTCTTTTCCTCTTCCTCAATCTCTAATCTTTCCCTCACTTGTTTCAAAATAAATGACTCGGTTTTATACTAACTATAAAGTTAGTATAAAACTGGATCGTCTATTTTGAAACAGAGGGAGTATTTCTACTTTCATTAATAAAGTGAATAGTGTTTCTGGTTGTTCATATCCAAATTGCCGAAGTTGTCCATAATTACTCACCATGTCATCCATAAGTTGACAAAAAAAGAATAAATTGTTTTTTCTTTACACGCGACCGGCAGCTTTGATTCAATAAATTTAAATTCCGTTATAAAGTATAAGGATTGACATGGACGAGTGGATAGAGCATCCTGCTTTGGTACTGAGGATCGAGTCACCCATTTCCCCTTTTTATTCTTTTTCCCACAGATTTAATTTTTTTTAATATTCATATTTTTTAAACCGCAACTCCAAATCTAACATTTTATATATGAAAATCCTCAGAAAAATGTGTACATTTCAAAAATCCTATTATCTTGCATGTTATTCATTTCTAAATTATGTTTAGCATCCAACTTTAATCAATATCTTCTTTACATGTGGTATTTTGAAAATGCTGATTGTATATGTTTTACCCCATTTAAACTGAGTAGATGTGATAGTTTATTACTTTCACAAAAACTACACATAAGCATCATGTCCATTTCACACAGTGCATAATAAACAACCCATATACGATAATGTACACGAAACTATTGATATGAGTTTTATGTAAATCAGTGGCTTAACGTTGATTTTCATATTGTTTGAGATTTATATAAAGATGTTGATATGGAACCTTGAATATTTGGCATGCATGCTTGGTTGTTTTTGGTAAAGCCATGTAGTATATTTGCAATCAAAGTAAGTCTTGACTTGATTACAGTTATAAACACAAGTATCAGCAAGACAAAAATAATGCTCTTATGCACATGCTATCATTGAGTACTAACATGTATTTTGTTATTTTTATTCTAATGCAATATTTATTGGGCATCACTTAGGAGTAACAAAAATTAGAGGCGTAAAGAGATAGCGGCAACTTGATAGATGTTTCTGTTATCTAATGGATTAGAAACACCTTGAGTACACTTCAAAGATCATCTCATCTTTCTATTTTTGTGTAACACCACTTATCATGTTGTTTGTTGTGTGGCACTGTGAAAGATTTTAAAAGATTTGCTGATGTCATCGGTGTGTGCATGAGGGATGATTTTTTTTCTCCCGTTGAAATGCACAGGCATGTTTGCTGGTAATAATAAAGCAAATAGTGCTTCTAGTGGTCCCTCATCAAATCTACCCCTAAAGTTGGCACAAATTACCCACCATGACATCCATAAGTGCGAAAAAAGAACCAATTTTTTCATGTAGGCACTTTCGTTGATTCATTTACAAGCAATCCCGCGAGGTATCACAAGTTGGTAGGTAGTGCACCGGTTAGAACCTCTCTCATCCATTGTAGAGACCTAGGTTCGACTCCCCTGGCGCTCTTATTTCTCTTTTCTTTTACTAGTAATCGTGTACGTGCAAATGCACGTATCTAAGTAAAATTGATCATTATTCAATTTGCATGCAGGTACAAATCTGAACAAATAATTTTAAGAACATAACTAACATATATATCTTTTATTTGAAATTGCTGCTTCACCCCAGAAATAAAAAGCAAACAAAATTCCAATTATCATCTACATGCAAGCTACATATTGACCAACGCAAATATTGCAAAAACATATTACAAATGTAAGAAACTTATAATCTTTGTACACAATTTTATCTGAGCTAAGCGAAATCATAGATGTACTCTTTGCACAGCAATTTTATGATTTAGACAGCTAATTGTATAATTTCCAGATTTTAGGAAAATAAGAAATTCTGCTACTATAGACTTATAGAGATCTTATTCGAAGATGAGACCATTCAAATATATTAAAACAGATTTTTCTTTACGGGAATACATTCACAAAACAACAAACATCAATAAGAAACTCTTTATATTAATATTTCAAATGACTTGCACAATTTTCAATATATATCAAAAAACTTGAAACAGGTCTATGCCTTTGCCTATATGATTGGCTTGCAATTCCATGCGTGACTCTATTCCATTGTTTGATGCTCTAACTCTTCACATCTTCTATATAACAAGACATACTTTGTACTACTCTTCACATCTTCTCATTAACGACAAATACATGATTATCATCGCAACTACCAGTCAAGAGAAATGAATGGAAGATGGAAAGTACCTGTCAGCATCTCCCTTACTCCCAATATTATGATTCCTCTCTCTGTTTCCTTCCCTTCTCCGGATTCTTTTCATCAAACTAACAGCATGAAGGAGAAAATAAACCAAGCATACTAGTCAAGAGAAACAAAATATAAAAACATGATTAAACCTTATCTCACTTCAATGCAAATCTGGGATACTTGTGGGCACCGAGCCGCTGATTATCCTGCTACTCGTTGGACTGCTCAATGCAAATTTCCTAGAAGGTTCAGCTTTGGTGGTCCTGCAAGCAAATATCTTGTCTGGATATAATAATAGTTGGGACAAACTTGAAAACTTTATTAGATGCCCCTGATGCACTGTAAGGCCTTCCAGTGGTAGCTTGAACAACCCAACAGTATAGACCTATAAATCAGGTACCAACATGAAAATGTAGAGGAAGATTCCATACATTTTTGTAGGTGAAGAAAAAAACCCAGTTAGTAGTTGCTGCAAGCCTCCAAGTACACATGTATTGAAAGATTCTACATACAATATGATATATCAGTCTAGTAAAAGTGGTCACAAGTCTATACATATTGCAGCATTGTATACATAGTAAGATATGGGGTGAAGATAACATATCATTACAAAACTCAGTCCCCAAAAGTGAGGTCAACCTTCTGCATATTTGCACGGCAAACACAATATAGTCAGACATATGGAAAATGTATTTACATGCCGGAATCATACAATTAGATGGTATATATTTAGACATTTGTTCTTAGTGTCTTATTTTTTATAAAAAGTAGTACAGATATGCTAATGCTCCTATCGTTCTTCTTATGTAAGCAAACGCCTTCTAATAGATGGCATGGAAACTTGTTTTCTAAAATGCCTTCAGAAGGATAAAAGTTTCCTCTTCTTATGTAAGCAAACGCCTTCTAGTGGATGGCATGAAAACTTGTTTTCTAAAATGCCTTCAGAAGGATAAAAGTTTCACATGGAAACTTATTTTACAAAATGCCTCTAGAAGAATACATGAACTATATAGATGAGAAAATCCTAGTTGTTTAAATTGACATTTTATTAATGACATTGTAGTTGGGATAGAAAATATTTATGTTACCCATTCGTCTAGCAAATAACAAAAAAATGAACATATATATACTTGCATCAAAATCAATTTTAGTGTCTTGCACAATTACTTCTCGAACCCAGTGCTGGTACGAGTGCTTGGCTAGGAGGTATGTAAAAGTCCTAAATAAAAATAAATATACACTCCTACTTGTTTTATCTAATTCAATCATCAAAAGCATATCGGTGAATAGTAAAAAACATATTGGTTCAGGAATAGGAGTTAATCTGAAGCATGTGTGTTGTTCTTAACTTATCTCTAGCTGCTCTCTCCTCCTCTTTCCGGTTGCTCTGTTGATATCCTCTTTCAGAAGCACATTCAGTAGAAGGAACAAAATTGAGTTTGAAGGAGAACCATATTTTTAGAAGGAAAAAACAGCGGAAATTTAGTATAGGTCAAATTCAGTAGCTTCAGAAAAATATGCAATTGATACACATCATTTTGGGCCATGCTTAAGAACAATACCAATTACAATTTAAGATTGCTTATTGTGCCACCGAATTTACGTAAGCCAAATTGGCAATGGATGTCAGATTGCATGTACATTAGGGAATAGGTGAAAGCATCTTACAAGGAATACCAGTACCTGTGCGTTATGGAGTTGTACACGTCAACTGGAGATTAGTTTGCGAAGGGCCGTACAGAGAACGAATGCCCAAGAAACAAGCACAAAGGCAGATTTTCTCAGAGAAGAGTGCGACCTCCGGTGCACAAGGATCGACCGAAGGACGTGAACCGATGGTCGC